GAATGCCTAGAATGGTTTCTCATGCTGGGCTGCTGTGGTGGGAAGTTGGAGTCTAGATCAGAGAAGCAGAATCTCCTGAAGGGTAGTCTGTACAGACACTAGCCGGCAGTTGTGAGACTGGAACCTGAGGGCCACTCTATAGGACAGCGATGTCTCACCAACACTGGGTTATGTCAAGTGGTTTGTGCATACTGGCTTGATGGATGCTGCCTCAGTGAGCCATAGTGGAAGGCTGAGGAGTCAGCCAAAGCATGTTTCCAGGTTTTATGTGTTTATAGACTGTGTATGTATACCTATGTATATGTGTGTATGTACATACACATAAACATATATATATATGCATGTTCACACACACACACACACACACACACACACTAAACCATAGCTCCAGAATTACTTCTGAACTCTTGGTTAATTTTAGTTGTCAACTTGACACCACCTAGAGTCACCTCGGAGAGTCTCAGTGAAGGACTGCCTACATTTGCTTGACCTGTGAGCTTGTCTGTGGGAATTGTCTTAATTAAGTCAGCTGATGTGGGAAACCCCGCCCACTCTGGCAGTACCATTTCCTAACCAGGGCATTCTCCATTGTTTAGGAACAGGTACCTTGAGCCAGGCACTGGCTGCCAAGCAAGCAAGCAAGCATGCATCCTTTTTTTTTTTTTCTGCTCTTGACCGTGGATGCGATATGACTTGATGTTTGAAGTTCCTGCCCTGCCTTCACCACAGTGATGGACTGTAGCCTTGAATTGTAAGCTGAAATATCCCCCCTTCTCCCCAGAACTGCTTTTTGTCAGTTTTATCACAGCCACAGAAATGAAACTGGATAAAACTGATCTAATACTGAGCTCAAATTCCCCAACTCTAATGAATGGGTGAGCTTAGTGTATTCAGTGGAATTTTTGTTTCTGTTTTGATGTGATGGTACCAAATGCTACCAGTCACCTTACCAATGTGAAGTCCTGACTGGCATGCTGGACCTGCCTGATGGCTCAAGTTGAAAATAAGCTGAGAAATGGGCTCCTGCCATGTGACGTTGTGAATACTGAATGCCTCTGGTTAGGAGTGCTCATAGCTGGACATCTCCATTAGCTCCCTCTGAAGGGCTCTTCCCAAAGTCTTTGTCAGCCTCCCAGTGAACAAGTGCCAGCTCACCTCCCATCCAGAAGGGCAACATGTTTTTCCAGGTCTGTTTGCACAGAACAGACCCAGCTCCAAAAGTGAGTGACTGTGAGAGACTCAGTTTGGGTTTTGGTGAAACTGAAGTATTGAGAAAGACAGTCAAAAGAGAACAAACCTCTTCTCCAAAAGGCTTGTCCTCAGGCTCCGCTCCACACCCTGCTGTGGCTGGAGAGACCACTCCTGGGGACCAAGGAACCACAACTCACACCCAAGTGTCCTTGACTTCTTCACCCACCCCCTCCTTACTATTGCAAGGTCACTCCAGCCCGAGGGGATCTTAAAACCGGGCAGCATGGCTCTTCAAACTATTGTTCCCCCAAGGTTCCTTTCCAGTTAGTTATCTATGTCTGAAGAAATTCTTCCCGGGATTCCCATCATAATTTGGTTAAACAGTTTGGAGGCTGGCGGTGTGGTATGTTGCTGGGCCATTTTAAACCTCTTTTAGAAACTCTCTTGCTGTGTGTAAGTTGTCTGCTCTGTGGGGTCCTTCTTATTTGATTGTTGACTCGAGGTGCTGTTCTCCTGTCCGGCTTTCTTTAGTCTACTACAACATGTGTCACGTTGTGTCTCAGTGGATGTCTTCTGCCCTTTCCCGTGTCTCTGCTAGCTTCAGTGGTAGACCGGGATCATAGAATACTTTCACAGGAGGTTGGAGAGATGGCTCAGCAGTTAAGAGCTCTCCATACTCTTCCAGAGGACTGGCGTCCAGTTCACAGCACCTATGGTGGACGGCTCAACAGCCACCTGAAATGCCAGTTCCAGGAGACCAAGGGCCATCTCTGCAGGCACCAGCACCCATGAACACAAACCTGCTTGTTTTGAAAAAGGGCCTGAGGTAGCCTAGGCTAACCTTGAACTCTGTACCTCATAAGTGGTGTGCTACAGGCCTGTGCCACATGCCTGGCTGGGTTATGGGATACCTGGGTGTGAAATGGGGGATTGTCAAGGTGGGTATCACCTCTGTTTTTGCCACAGCTGGGACATCTACAGCTGTTTTCACACACTCTTTCTCCATCCTCCTATTCTGCAGCTCCAGCAGCACAGACTCTTCACTGCTCCATCTCCAATCCTGCTCACATGAACACCTCTTTTCTGTTTGAAGAACTGATGGGTCTCTGCTCACGTCGTCACTGACATCCCATTTTACTCCTGAGCCAGTCCTGTGCGGGCGTGTTGGTTGGCTCTTTCCTTTAGTGCTAAAATGTGTGTGTGTGTGTGTGT